CTAGCTTAGCTAGATCTAAAGCTAAGACCTAGCTTCTATAGATTACTTAGATTAGAATCTAATCTATAGATTAGGTTCTAATCTCTCTAATCTATCTAATTTATATTACGTAACTCTAATTATTTCTATAACTTTATACGTAATCTCTTATTCTATAACCTTAGACTTAGCCTACTATTTTCTCTATCTTAGCTAGCTAACTCTATTACTAATTCTGTAATTATAATACTTACCTCTTCTTCTAAAGTATTATTCTAAAGCTCTATCTTATTTCTAGATATAGTATTTTATTATTCTATACTATTCTTATATAAGAGTAGTATTACCTATAGTTCTATAGTATTATATTCTCTCTTCTCTTTCTATCTCTACTATACTACCTACGCGTACTAAGTTCTTAATAGTCTACTATTACTATTATACTAACCTTATTCTATATATAGGTATAGATATATTAGATAACCTCTATAGTACGTATTGTTTTCGCAACCTATATTACGTTATAGAGGTATCTTCTAGTTATTATTCTAAGTATTTAGTAAAGAACTAGTTCTATAATAAGGTGCTAGATTAGAAAGAGGTAGAGAAGCTAGATTAGTTAGTAGCTAATTTATGTTCTTAGTAGTCTAAGGCTAGTCTTAAGATAGAGCGCCTTACTAAGACTTAGTAGTTAGAGCTAGATTACTTACGTGCCTAAGAGGCTCTTCTAGATAAATTCTAGTAGTCTACTAACGCGCGTAGTAAGCGCCTATAAAAGTAGCTAGAGCTAGTATAGTATTATTATAACGTACTACTTTTAAAGAACCTTACTAATATTAAAAAGTTAGAGTAGTTAGAGTATAAGGTATAGCTATTCTTTCTATTATAACCTTCTATTTCTATAGTTAATTCTCTCTAGTTGTTTAACTAGAGTTATCTAGAGAATTCTAGTTTCTAGTCTTCTAGTATTAGTAGTAGCGCCGCTAATAAAACTTCTTAAGTTTTTTAGAGTAGTTCTTAAGGTTTTCTAGAGGTTTCTAAGTATCTTTCTCTAGTAGGTACTCTTTCTACCTTACTTAGTATTTCTACTAACCTTGTATACGCTTTCTATTTAGTATCTCTTTAACCTTAAAGTTCTAGTCTAGTTCTACCTTAGTTTATTTATCTAGTAACGCGCTATTAGGTACTAGCTTAAGTTTAGATTTATAGAATATAGAATATATTTATATTATTAGTAGTAGCTTTAGTCTAAAGTTAATAGGTCTAAGTTGTTTGTTTATTTTAAATAGTTTAATTTTTAGGTAGTTAAGTTTTTTACTAGGTTGTTTAGTGCGTAAGTTTTTTTGTAGAATAAAAACTTTACCTCTCTTCTTAAAGGTTAGTCTCTTAATTCTTTTTTTATTTACTTATTAGGTTATTTTTTCTACTATTTTCTATAGTTTATTATAGATTATTCTTATTTAGTATTCTTTTTCTTTTATCTTTAGAGAGATTATAGCTATATATATTAAGAATTTATATATTCTAGCCTTATAGCTATAATATATCTAATAGAGAGTTATCTCTATAGTTTCTTATTTTACTATATTATATACTAGTTATACTATAGATAGTAGTTTAACCTAGTTATCTTATTTCTAGTTAACGTAGTTTCTTAGGTATTCTTCTAGAGTCTAATTTATTTATTCTATCTAGCTATTAGTCTATAGGTAGAAGCTAGTTAATATTTAGTTACTTATTTCTATTTAGCTAAGTAGCGCATTCTAGAACTTAGATATAAATAGCTTATCTCTATTTATTATAACTTATTCTAGTATTTTATACTAGCTAAATAGTTATTAGCTTACCTTATAAGCTAGTTCTTTAGCTTTAAGAGTTTTACTAGTTAGGTAGAAGTATACGTACTTAGTAAATTAGTCTATAATTACTAGAATAGTATTATACTTTCTTTATAATACTAGTTTAGTTAACTAGAGTAGCTTAGTAATAAAGTCTATAGTAACGTATTACTATAGTACTATAGGTAGTTCTAAAGGTTATAATAGTCTATATAGTTAGTATCTAGTTACCTTATTTTAC